GGGCTCGTTCTCTCCGCAGCACAATCCCCGCTGCCTGCCTCGCCCTGTGAGCGCGGAGGTGCCTGCAACTTTAATTAAAGGGCCGTCCCCTCGCCTAGGCGGCAGCACCGCCCCTCAGCTCCTCGCGTCTCAAAATGAGTAGCTCCCACTCCCGGGCGGGCCAGAGCGCGGCAGGCGCGGCTCCGGGCGGCGGTGCCGACGCGCGAGACGCCGAGATGCCAGCCACCGAGAAGGACCTGGCAGAGGACGCGCCGTGGAAGAAGATCCAGCAGAACACGTTCACGCGCTGGTGCAACGAGCACCTGAAGTGCGTGAGCAAGCGCATCGCCAACCTGCAGACGGACCTGAGCGATGGGCTGCGGCTCATCGCGCTGCTGGAGGTGCTCAGCCAGAAGAAGATGCACCGCAAGCACAACCAGAGGCCCACCTTCCGCCAGATGCAGCTCGAGAACGTGTCCGTGGCGCTCGAGTTCCTGGACCGTGAGAGCATCAAGCTCGTGTCCATCGGTGAGGGCGTGGGTCGCTCCCGTGGCACGGGGAGGTCGAGGTTGAGGGCGGGGGCTCCACGCATCCTCCCCTCTCTCCTGGGCCAGCCCCTCCCAGCTACGTCCCCCCAGCCCCCGCGCTGCCCCCAGGGCCGCCAGGCTCCAACACGCAGGCCTCGAGAACAAAGGCGCGCTGGCAGGCTGGCCGGGCGTGCAGACCGCTACGCGCCCCCGCCCGCCGCACCCCGGCTGGCCCGCGCCCAGGCTGAGCTCACATCCTCCGCAGGCCGCGCCCCCGCCACTGCACCCGCCGTGGGAGAGGGCCTGCGGAAGGCGGGCACTGGCCAGGCTCTGGCCCTGCGCCCAGTGCCCCATCCTTGAGGAGGGGGAAGTCCCGAGCTCTCCACCCACCCCACTCCCTTCAGCAGTTTGGGAAGGGCTCTCTGGCCTTCAGGCGCTCCTGTAGTTCCTAAACGGGGTGTTGGAGCTTGTGAGTCCCATTGTCTAGGGCTCTTGGCTGTTTTGGGCCCTGGGAGATGGGTCCTTCCACTGGAGATGGCTCCAACCCCCAGTTTAGATCTCCCCTCGAGAAACTTCTGGCCAGAGAGGACCATAGCTAGGAAAAGGGTACTTGAGATGAGGTGGCCACTGAAGGGAGCTGGTTTGTAGTCCACTTAAACACCAAGTTACTGTTGAGCTTGGGTCAAACTCTTGCTTCCATGTAGGACTTGCTTTTCTGCATCTAGAATGCACGAGCTGGTTGGGAGGTACTCCAGCGTGCACTGGGCTCACCGCCAACCCAGTGTCCGTGTCACTGGGCTGGTGAGGTTGGCATTGACTGGACCTACTGCAGCATCCCAGGCTCTTCTCAAGATGCAGGCCATTCAGGGACCTGCACCGGAACTGGTGACTCGGGGGTAGTGTGTTCCCGCGGGAGGAGGAGCGCTTTCTTTTCTTTACAGTTCTTCCAGTTGTCCCTAAAGCCATGAGCCTTGCTGAGCCTGCGAGTCTGAGGGACACAGGACTCAGGCGCCCCCAGCCACTCAGAGGGCAGGTCTCCAGGGTCCCACCTCTTTCTTTGGAATGCCAGTTGAGGCTGAGGCCCACCCCTCAGTCCCAGCCTCAGTCTAGCCAAGCTGAGTCATCTCTGAGTCTTGGGTGGGGGGGCAACCGGATGTGGGGAGGCAGGCCACACCCCAGCTGTCTAGGGGGGGTCTCCTCCTCCCTCCTCCCTTCTACTCCTCCTCTAGTGAGCTGGCTGGAGCAGGCCTAGTTCCCAGAGCTTTGCCATATAAGGCAAAAAAATGTTGGAAAGCAGCAGTGATTAGGGGAGGGAGGGGGCAGGCTAGCCCGGGGGCTGGGGAAAGGGGGTGGGATGGGGCGGGGCCATCCAACCAGGCTGTCTCCCAACCCGGGGCCCTGGTTCTCTTCCCTCCCTCTTTTGTCAGGGGGATGAGGAGGGCTTAGGCTGGCCTCCTGTGGACCAGGGGGAGGGCCCAGCCCAACCCACTCAGGCTGATGAGCTTGGCCTTGTGTGTCCCAAGTCACAGTAGGACTCTGGAGGAGGGGGCCTACTAGGAAGCTCTCTGGCTGGTCCTGTGCCCTTGGTCTTCTCTGAACCTTCCAATCACCTCTAGCCTGAGGCCCCTTCTCTACCAGCCCCGCCTGCTATTTGGGGACAGCGCAAGGCAGTAGTGCAGAGCTTGGGACCAGCCGCAGTCTGGGAGCGGGGAGGCTGCTCTGCTTTGAGTGGCTCAGCCAGTCCTCGAGGTCCTGCCTGCTGGATTCAGGCTGCCTACCATTGATGGCCCTTTTGGTGGTGTCCATCCCCTTCTTCCCACCCTCGAGTTGACTCATCAGACAAGTATTTTCTCTTGATTTTGACGGGGGTGGGGGGTGGGGGGGTGCAGGACTCCAGTGGTTCTTAGAAAGCCCTCCCCTTTTCAGGGCCCCACCCTTAGGAAGCTGCGACCCAGAAGTGCCTTGGGTGGGGCCCAGAGCCTGGAGGGGTTGCCATGGTGACAGGGCGCTAGGTGCCCGCCCTAACCACTTCCCCTGTGGTGAGCTTGGCAGCCACCCGCCTGAGGCCCAGTGCCCCGTTAGGTGGTGAGGAGGGCAGGCGGCGGGCGAGCTCTGCTGAGGCAGCAGGACTCAGGGACCCCACCCATGGCTTCTGCCACCCCAGCTCCCAAGCTGGGGCCCTGGGTGCCCCGCCCAGGCTCATCAGTTCTGCCTTTCTCCTTGCTGGCTGAGGGGGTCTCTGGAATGTGTCCTGCCCATCACCCTGGCTGGCACGCAGCTCAACCACTGGCTCCTTTGTCCTCACCCCCACCCTCCCCAGGCCTGCTCCCAGTTTGGGTCTGTGGAGGGTGGGGGCAAACCGAGGAAGTGGGGGTGGGGCTCACATCCTCCACTCAAAGGGTCCTTGCCCAACGCCTCTACTTCCCCTGCCTGCTGCGGCCCTGGGCCCACCCGCCCACCCTGAGGCAACAGTTTTCTTTCCCAACTGCCCCACTGGCCAGCCTTCCTCTTCCTCCACCCCGGCCCCATCCCCCCTCCCCTCCAGGGTCAGGTCAGGGGTCTCCTATCTCGGCCTGCTGGGGCCACACTGCTCCTCCTGCCCAATTCCCTGGAGACCCCCTGGAGCTGGGCAGCTGCAAAGCACCTTTGGGGGAAGGGCCCCTCCAGAGGCCGCCCTGGGCCCTGTCTGCAGCCTGGGTCTGTTGTCTGTCCTTCCTCTGCCGCCCCCCGCCCCACCGTCCAAAGGGCTTCCAGCAACACTCCTCATTGAGCTGTATCGTCACCACGTGTCAATGTGGGGCGTCTCCCCCCTCCCCAGAAGTCTCTTTCATCTCCTTTACCCCCTACAGAGACCCTGAGCAGAGAGGGCAGGACCCGCATGCCACCCCCTCAGGGAGCCTCGGCCTCCTCCCCAGGGACCCCTTGCTGCCACACTCTGCTGCCTGGGAGTGGCCTGAGGCTGCATGCGTGCGCACTCGGGCCCCTGCCTGCTCAGCGCTGCCACTCGCTTTCCTCACAGACAGCAAGGCCATCGTGGATGGGAACCTGAAGCTGATCTTGGGCCTCATCTGGACCCTGATCCTGCACTACTCCATCTCCATGCCCATGTGGGATGAGGAGGAGGATGAGGAAGCCAAGAAGCAGACGCCCAAGCAGCGGCTCCTGGGCTGGATTCAGAATAAGCTGCCACAGCTGCCCATCACCAACTTCAGCCGGGACTGGCAGAGCGGCAGGGCCCTGGGTGCCCTCGTCGACAGCTGTGCCCCAGGTGAGGGGTGAGGGAGTGGGGGGGCGGGGTGGAGGAGACAGCCTGCCAGGGGGCCCTGGGGGCACCTCCCTCCAACTCACAGCCTTCCTTGTGCCGCAGGCCTATGCCCTGACTGGGACTCCTGGGATGCCAGCAAGCCCGTGAACAACGCGAGGGAGGCCATGCAGCAGGCTGATGATTGGCTGGGCATCCCTCAGGTACCCCCTGCCTGCGACCATCTGGGGGCTTGTGGTCCCCGTGGGGAGATGTGTCACATGCCAGGGACTTGACGCTTGGAGGTCACATGGCTTCTGTCTGCCATCTGTGATAGGTGATCACACCCGAGGAAATCGTGGATCCCAATGTGGACGAGCACTCCGTCATGACCTACCTGTCCCAGTTCCCCAAGGCCAAGCTGAAGCCAGGAGCTCCCCTGCGGCCCAAACTAAACCCAAAGAAAGCCCGAGCCTATGGGCCAGGTGAGGAAGTCGGGCAGGGGATGCTCTGCGTGCTGACCTCATCCCTGCAGGACTTGGAGGTCTTGGGAACTCTTCGGTTACATGGGGGCTAGGTTATCAAATGCCCCTTCCGAGTCAAACGAATGGGTCAGGGCTAGTCAAAACTGGCCACTTGGCTAGAAGTTCCCCCCCCCCGAGGCGTCACCACAAGGTGGAGTGTGGTCAGGGAGGCACGACCCGGCCGCGTGACTCAACAGAGACAAAACCCAGCCAGGGTATCGCACAGGAGCTAGGGCTCAGGCAAACCCGAGCGAGAGTGCCAGAAAACAGACCCAGGCCTGTCCCACAGCAAGAATGAAGCTGGGGCACGAGGCCAGGCTCTGTGTGCTGGGCCAGGGTTTGCCTGCCATCAGTTCGCCCGGTTCAGAGCATTCCCGACGGGGTGACGGCAGGGAAAGACGCTGGGCCCGAAGGGGGAGGTGCGCTGGGGTGAGGAGGCAGCCCTACGGGCCGGCTCAGAGCTCCCGGACCCTGCCTGGCAGGCATCGAGCCCACAGGCAACATGGTGAAGAAGCGCGCGGAATTCACTGTGGAGACCAGAAGTGCTGGCCAGGGAGAGGTGCTGGTGTACGTGGAGGACCCAGCCGGCCACCAGGAAGAGGTAGGGCCACCGTCAAGCAGGCGGGCAGGGCACGGCACGGCGGTGCCTCCGTTCAGAGCAGGGCCTCATGTGCTCCTTCCCGCCACAGGCAAAGGTGACTGCCAATAATGACAAGAACCGTACCTTCTCTGTCTGGTACGTCCCCGAAGTGACGGGGACTCACAAGGTGAGCCCTCAGCCCTCAGCCCGAGGGGAGGCTGGTGGGGGAGGCGGTGGCTGGAAGGCCCTGCCCCTGCCCTCACGGTCTGCCCCTCCTGGGCACAGGTCACCGTGCTCTTTGCCGGTCAGCATATCGCCAAGAGTCCCTTCGAGGTGTATGTGGACAAGTCCCAGGGTGATGCGAGCAAAGTGACCGCCCAGGGCCCTGGCCTGGAGCCCAGTGGCAACATCGCCAACAAGACCACCTACTTTGAGATCTTCACAGCAGGTGAGGAGGGCGCTGCTGAGGCTGGCAGGTGTGAGGGGAGAGCGGCGGGGGGCCGGCAGCGGGCCGGGAGCTAAGCTGTGGTTACGCTGTGGCAGGGGCTGGCACGGGCGAGGTGGAAGTTGTGATCCAGGACCCTGCGGGCCAGAAGGGCACCGTGGAGCCTCAGCTGGAGGCCCGGGGCGACAGCACGTACCGCTGCAGCTACCAGCCCACCGCGGAGGGCGTCCACACGGTGCACGTCACCTTTGCCGGCGTGCCCGTCCCTCGAAGCCCCTACACTGTCACTGTTGGCCAAGGTAGGCCGGTCCCAGCCGCCCCCAAGTGGGGGCGCTGTAGACTGGGCCTCCCTCCGGGCGAGACTCACTCCAGCCCTAGCCCCGGCACCCTGGGCCTCTATGCTTCCACTGTCTGGGCTCTCTTTCCTCCCCTGCTGGGGCCCTTCCTCCTCCTCCTCTCGCCCTTCTCCGTCTCTCTTCTCCACGCTTTCACCTTCAGAAGAGCTCGCTCCAGCTGTTTAGAAACCTGCTGCTCTCTGCTCTGCCCACGGGGTCCACGGTACTTGGATCTGTCTTCCTCTGGGAGGGGGCGGGCTGGGCGGGGGGCGGGGGGCTGCTGGCGGCTGGTGTGGAATTGCTGGGAGGAGGCCTGGCCTACAGGTCCTGGGGTCATCGTTCTTTCCTGCATGTCCTTCACCCGTCTTGTGGGACCACGTTTCGAGGGACCGCCAGATTCTGGCGGCCCAGCCCTGTGGGAGGGACGGGTAGGGGTCACCCAGTGCCAGCTCCCAGTGGCTTAGCTGGCCCTTTCCCCGCAGCCTGTAACCCGGGCGCCTGCCGTGCCGTTGGCCGTGGCCTCCAGCCCAAGGGTATGCGGGTGAAGGAGACTGCGGACTTCAAGGTGTACACAAAGGGCGCCGGCAGCGGAGAGCTGAAGGTCACTGTGAAGGGGCCCAGTAAGTTGGGCCACGGCTGGGATGGGTGGTGGCGGCCTCAGGACTGCTGCTGGCCAGGCCTGAGGCCCTCCCTTGTCTTGGGCAGAGGGCGAGGAGCGTGTGAAGCAGAAGGACCTGGGGGATGGCGTCTATGGCTTCGAGTATTACCCCCTGGTCCCCGGCACGTACACTGTCACCATCACGTGGGGTGGCCAGAACATCGGGCGCAGGTGAGGCCCCGGGCAGAGCCCTCAGAGCCCAGGCGGCACGCTTCTCCCCCCGTGCTGGGCCCTCAGCGCTCCCCTGTGCGGCTCTCTTCACAGTCCCTTTGAGGTGAAGGTGGGCACGGAGTGCGGCAACCAGAAGGTGCGGGCCTGGGGCCCCGGGCTGGAAGGCGGAGTCGTGGGCAAGTCGGCCGACTTTGTGGTGGAGGCCATCGGGGATGACGTCGGCACCTTGGGTGAGCTGCAGGCCGTGGCGCGGGCGTCCGGGGGCAGGGGGCAGTGAGGCCCCAGGGTGCTCATGCGACTGGCGGCCGTTGTCAGGCTTCTCGGTGGAGGGCCCATCGCAGGCCAGGATCGAGTGCGATGACAAGGGCGACGGCTCCTGTGACGTGCGCTACTGGCCCCAGGAGGCCGGCGAGTACGCCGTGCACGTGCTGTGCAACAGCGAGGACATCCGCCTCAGCCCCTTCATGGCCGACATCCGCGAGGCGCCGCAGGACTTCCACCCAGACAGGGTAAAGGGCGTGTGCTGCCGGCCCCCTTCTGCCTCTGCCTGGGGACTTGGGGAGGCCTGGCTGTGCTGGTGGCCCCAACCGCGTGTTCCTGCCACTCTGGGTCCTTGGGGGCCTTGCACTTGGTCCCCTGAGATCGGGGGGGGGGGCATCTCTCATCAGGTGAAGGCACGTGGGCCTGGACTGGAGAAGACGGGCGTGGCTGTCAATAAGCCGGCAGAGTTCACGGTGGACACCAAGCATGGTGGGAAGGCCAGTCTCCGGGTCCAAGTCCAGGTGGGGTGCCCACCCGTGGTGGGGTTGGTGCGCGGGTGCCCAGGCCCGGGCCCTCATCAGCGGTCTGCTCGTCCTTGCCCACTTCGCAGGACAACGAGGGATGCCCCGTGGAGGCGGCAGTCAAGGACAACGGCAATGGCACTTACAGCTGCTCGTACGTGCCCAGGAAGCCGGTGAAGCACACGGCCATGGTGTCCTGGGGCGGCGTCAGCATTCCCAACAGCCCCTTCCGGGTGAGCAGCCCCGTAGCCCATCTCCCTCGGGTGCCCGATCCAGCTCCGTTAGGTAGACCTCCCAGACTGTACAGATCCCCCGTCCCAGGTGTACAACTCGATGGTTTTGAGTACATTCAGGGGTGTGCGGCAAGGATCACAGCCAAAGGTTAGGCTGTCTTCGTCATCCGGAAAAGAAAGCCTCTACCCCGCACGCCCCCTCCCCCAGGCCCGAGCAAGCCCACTCCGGATGGCTGCCGTGGATGCGTGTGCACGCAGTACGTGGCCTTCGTATCGGGTTGCTGTCACTCAGCAGCACGTTTCATCGTGGCTCCCCCGTACCATAGCACGAGTCCACGCTTCCCGCCTCTTCACGCCCGAGGAATAGCCTGTGGTGTGGATGGGCCCCATGGGTTTTTCGCCGTTTGGCCGCTGTGAATAACACCACCGTGAACGTTCGAGGACGAGCGCTTGTGGGGATGAGCGATCTCCTCTTCCCCGGCGTGTCGGTACCTCGGGGTAGGCTTGCTGTGCCAGGTGGCCACTTGGTGTTTAATCATTTGAAGAACCACGAAACTACTTCCTGAGGTGGCTGTACCATTTAGTGTGCCTGTTGGCCATGCGTGAAAAAGCCCTGGGCCTCCTCCACGCTGCTCATGCCCTTGCACTTGCCCCTGCGCCCTGCAGGTAAACGTGGGAGCCGGTAGCCACCCGAACAAGGTCAAGGTGTATGGCCCAGGAGTAGCCAAGACAGGGCTCAAGGCTCATGAGCCAACCTACTTCACTGTGGATTGCACCGAGGCCGGCCAGGGTAAGGGCAAGGGCCTGCCCCAGGCAGGTGGGCGAGCGGGCGAGGCGTCCGGATGCGATCCCAGCCTCTGCTCCCACCCCCCGCTGCAGGGGACGTCAGCATCGGCATCAAGTGTGCCCCTGGCGTGGTCGGCCCCACTGAGGCCGACATCGACTTTGACATCATCCGTAACGACAACGACACCTTCACAGTGAAGTACACACCGCGCGGGGCTGGCAGCTACACCATCATGGTCCTCTTTGCTGACCAGGTGGGTGCTGTGCTCCCGGCCCCTAACGGTGCTGCGTGTGGGGGCACTGCTGTCCCCTGAGCCCTACTCCTCCCACCCCCTGCAGGCCACGCCCACCAGCCCCATCCGGGTCAAGGTGGAGCCCTCCCATGATGCCAGCAAGGTGAAGGCTGAGGGCCCTGGCCTCAGTCGCACTGGTGAGGATGAGCAGCACCCTGTGGGGCAGTCGGGGCCACAAGGAGGCCTGGGGCAAGGTGCCCTTACATGGCCACCGTGTTTCCTCAGGTGTTGAGCTTGGCAAACCCACCCACTTCACGGTCAATGCCAAAGCTGCTGGCAAAGGCAAGCTGGACGTCCAGTTCTCAGGGCTGGCCAAGGGGGACGCAGTGCGCGATGTGGACATCATTGACCACCACGACAACACCTACACGGTCAAGTACACTCCCGTGCAGCAGGTAGTTACCCGGACCTCCCAACAGCTGCACTCCTCAACTAACCTACCGAGCGTGTGGGCTTCCTCGAGTGGTGGGCTAGGTGGGCTGCTCCAGAGGGCTTCCCACGCACTCTCGATTCCCCGCTGGGAGAGAGCCAGCTTGGAAGGCTGGGGGCGGGAGAGCAAAGCCAGTGTTTCTCTCACCCTCCCCCCGTGCCCAAGTGGGGAAGACACAGGCCGGGGGGACCAAGGTCCTGACTCCTGACTCTGCCTTTCTGTGCCCTCTCTAGGGTCCAGTGGGCATCAATGTCACTTACGGAGGGGATCCCATCCCCAAGAGCCCCTTCTCGGTGGGGGTGTCTCCAAGCCTAGACCTCAGCAAGATCAAGGTGTCTGGCCTGGGAGAGAGTAAGTAACCAGAGCCCTGTCCCAGTCACTGAGGATGCCCCAGGGGCCGCCTCGGCTGGATGCCATAGTTCTCTCCCTGGTTCTGTCATCTCAACAGAGGTGGATGTCGGCAAAGATCAGGAGTTCACAGTCAAATCGAAGGGTGCTGGTGGCCAAGGCAAAGTGGCATCCAAGATCACGGGCCCCTCGGGCACAGTAGTGCCCTGCAAGGTGGAGCCAGGCCTGGGGGCTGACAACAGCGTGGTGCGCTTTGTGCCCCGGGAGGAGGGGCCCTATGAGGTCGAGGTGACTTACGACGGGGTGCCTGTGCCTGGCAGCCCCTTTCCTGTGGAGGCCCTGCCCCCCACCAAGCCTAGCAAGGTAATTGGGGTATGGGGGCCCCCCCATCTTCTCCAGGCTCACCCTCCCCCGTCCTCATTTTTGTCCTCATGACCAGTGGCCCTGCCCGGACCCCTAGCTGGTGGGGGAGCAGGTGGACGGGAGGTCAGGCTGGGGGTCAGGGCTCAGGGAGGTGACACGGGTTTGGCTCCTGACCTGTCCCTCTTCCCTCAGGTGAAGGCGTTTGGGCCAGGGCTGCAGGGGGGCAGTGCGGGCTCCCCTGCGCGCTTCACCATCGACACCAAGGGTGCCGGCATGGGCGGCCTGGGCCTGACAGTGGAGGGCCCCTGCGAGGCCCAGCTTGAGTGCCTGGACAACGGGGATGGCACATGCTCTGTGTCCTATGTGCCCACCGAACCCGGGGACTACAACATCAACATCCTCTTCGCTGATACCCATATCCCCGGCTCCCCGTTCAAGGCCCACGTGGTTCCCTGCTTCGACGCATCCAAAGTCAAGTGCTCAGGCCCCGGCTTGGAGCGGGCCACGGCCGGGGAGGCGGGCCAGTTCCACGTAGACTGCTCAAGCGCAGGCAGCGCGGAGCTGACCATCGAAATCTGCTCTGAGGCGGGGCTGCCGGCCGAGGTGCACATCCAGGACCACGGTGATGGCACGCACACCATCACCTACATCCCGCTTTGCCCTGGGGCCTACACTGTCACCATCAAGTACGGTGGCCAGCCTGTGCCCAACTTCCCCAGCAAGCTGCAGGTGGAGCCTGCGGTAGACACGTCGGGCATCCAGTGCTATGGGCCTGGGATCGAGGGCCAAGGTGAGGCCCCACCGCGGCCCCTGGGGGCAGAGGGAAGCCAGCGTCCCGCGGGCCCCTGGAGCCCCATGCCTCCTCCCCATGCCCGCCCCTGCAGGTGTCTTCCGAGAGGCTACCACTGAGTTCAGTGTGGATGCCCGCGCTCTGACTCAGACCGGAGGGCCCCACGTCAAGGCTCGTGTGGCCAACCCCTCGGGCAACCTGACCGAGACCTACGTGCAGGACTGTGGCGACGGCACCTACAAAGTGGAGTACACGCCGTATGAGGAGGGTAGGCGCTGGGGCTCCCAAGGGCCGGGCCTTGAGACACAGGGCAGCCTGGGCTCCTCCTGAGCCAGCCTGCCCTCCTCCAGGACTCCACTCCGTGGACGTGACCTATGATGGCAGCCCCGTGCCCAGCAGCCCGTTCCAGGTGCCTGTGACCGAGGGCTGTGACCCTTCCCGAGTGCGTGTCCACGGGCCAGGTATCCAAAGCGGCACCACCAACAAGCCCAACAAGTTCACCGTGGAGACCAGGTGAGCAAGTGCCTGAGACGCAGGGGCTGCGATGGGCCTTGGGACCGCAGGAAATAATGGGCTATCCATTTGGACCAGGGGAGCTGGCACTGGGGGCCTGGGCCTGGCTGTCGAGGGCCCCTCCGAGGCCAAGATGTCCTGCATGGACAACAAGGACGGCAGCTGTTCGGTCGAGTATACCCCCTACGAGGCTGGCACCTACAGCCTTAACGTCACCTACGGTGGCCACCAAGTCCCAGGTGAGGAGGCGAGGCAGCTAGGGCTGGTCTGGGGCCATTTGCCAGCCCTCGGCTCTCGCACACAGCTGCCATCCGTGTTCCCTCCGCAGGCAGTCCTTTCAAGGTCCCCGTGCATGATGTGACAGATGCATCCAAAGTCAAGTGCTCTGGGCCTGGCCTGAGCCCTGGCATGGTCCGGGCCAACCTCCCTCAGTCCTTCCAAGTAGACACGAGCAAGGCTGGCGTGGCCCCACTGCAGGTCAAAGTGCAGGGGCCCAAAGGTGAGTGTTCATGTGCCTGGGAGTGGGCGGTCAGGAGAGCACAGTCCTCTTGGGAGGCTAGCGCAGGAGACCGGAGGCGCAGCGCTCAGAGGTTGGGACAGGTATTCAGGTAGTTCATGGAGGAGCCTCGGGTGACAGTGAAGCCAGTGCCCAGGGACAGAGGACCACCAGGAGGTAGAACAGACGGGACTTGGCCACTGGGCAGATGTGGCAGGAGGGAGGGTGGGCAAGGCTCCAAGATGGCACCCAGATTAGTGTCTGGTGTCACAGGGGCTCAGGACCATTCCTAGGGATGGGCAGGCGAGGGCAAAGCAAGGTCTAGGCCTGGGGTGGGGGCTGAGCTGGGTGGTCCAGTATGGTGGGGCTGGGGGACCCGGGAAACTGGCTGAGTCTCTCTCTGGGACTGGGACCAGGCCTGGTGGAGCCTGTGGACGTCGTGGACAACGCTGATGGCACCCAGACCGTAAACTACGTGCCCAGCCGGGAGGGGCCCTATAGCATCTCAGTGCTGTACGGGGAGGAAGAGGTGCCCCGCAGGTAAGAGGCAGGGCCTCCTGCCTGTGGGAAGGTTACCAGGGCTGAGCACCAAAAGCCCTCCTGACCATTCTTGTATCACCCCGGCCCAACAGCCCCTTCAAGGTCAAGGTGCTGCCTACGCATGATGCCAGCAAGGTGAAGGCCAGTGGCCCCGGGCTCAATACTACTGGTGTGCCCGCCAGCCTGCCCGTGGAGTTCACCATTGATGCGAAGGACGCGGGAGAGGGCCTGCTGGCTGTGCAGATCACGGTGAGCTGGCTGCCGGGGTGGCTGCCCGGCTCTGCCGGATTGCGGCTCCAGGCACCGAGAAGGCGGGGGCCGAGAGGGGCCTAGGCCAACGCGGCGTGCGGTATAGGGTGTGCGACTAGGGTGAGTGGACCAGTCCGGGGCTGTGGTCTCCCTTAGGAGCTGTGCCAGGGAGGCCAGGTCCCAGGCCTCTAGGATGGTGGTGACAGGCACAGGCCTCCCCGTGTGCACGCTTGTTCACTGCTGATCTTGGTGCCTCAACCGGCCCACCTGTAATGTTCTCGTGGGTCACGTAGGAGGACGGGACCTTGATCTTCCAGGGGGAGCTCCCGCTAGCACAGGAGCAGGCGCTGGGGCGGAGGCTGGGAGCCAAGGTGGTCATGGCGATAAAGCAGGATGGGCATCACCAACCTCCCCGGCCCCCTGCCTGTCATGGGGGCGGGGGGAGGCGCGTGGGGCATTTGGGACTTCCCTTCTGGATCCTGGCCGTGGCCAAGGAAAGGACTGACGACGCCGGGCGGTTGAGTGACTCAGAGGCCGTCCCTGCAGCCGTGGTCCCTGGTGTTTGTTCCTCCTGAGGGTCTGAGGTAACCCTGGGCCTCCGCTGTGCTCTGCCGCATAGGACCCTGAGGGCAAGCCCAAGAAGACGCACATCCAAGACAACCACGATGGCACGTACACGGTGGCTTATGTGCCAGACGTGACGGGCCGCTACACCATCCTGATCAAGTACGGTGGTGACGAGATCCCCTTCTCCCCGTACCGCGTCCGGGCCGTGCCCACCGGAGACGCCAGCAAGTGCACGGTCACAGGTGAGCCAGGCTGCCGGCGGCCGCGGCGCTCCGCACGGGGCTGGGGTGCGCCTGTGTGCAAGGGCTCGCTGCTTGGGGCGGCGTGTGGGAGTGGGGGCCACTCCCTTGAGTGACTCACCTGACCTTTCTCCTTGCTCTCTGCCCTCTCACCTCAGTGTCAATCGGAGGTCACGGGCTAGGTAAGCTGCTTGCTGGGGCCACTCCCAATGCCCCTCCTGCCCAGAGGGCAGCTTCCTTTTCCTCTTCCGTGCCGATTCCCAGGACAGTTCCAGCTGCAGCTCTTGGCAGGGACAGGGGGGGAAGCTGGAGGGATAGTGCCCAGGGAGGCCTCCAGAGCAGAGCGTGAGTGCTCCGGCCCTCCCTCTCTCTGGGCCTCCGTTTCCCCATCTGAGACGTCGGGTTGCAGCTGAGAGCTTTGGGGTGAGGTGCATCCTGAGAAGCACCCCACTGGGGGCTCTGGGGTCTGGGGATCTTGGCACCCTGGGGAAGCCCCGGGGGCGGGCAGCAGGCCCTGCCTTCTCACTTCCTCCTTCCGTGGCAAGGGCTCCTGCACGGGCTGAGGGGACAGGGGGTCTCCCCTCAGCAGTGGGAGTCCCCCGGCCCTGGCCAGATCCACAGACCTCCATCCCCATCTCCCAGGGGCGTCTGGGCCCCAGGCTGGGGGAGGTTCGGACTGCATGAGCGGGTGGGGCGGGTAGTGCAAGAGCAGCAGCGTCCGACTGCTTGGGCGGGTAGCAGGGCAGGGCCCAGCCCAGCCTCAGAGCCCCAAAGTGCACTCGGCGGCCTGCCCGCCCTCCCTGCCTCCCTCCCTCCCCCTGCCCCCCACC